CCCCGCCCCTCGGGGCCCGCACCTTTGTGACCGGCCCCGTTGACCTTCCAGTCGTTCGCCTTCAGGTGGGCCGGCCGGGAAGTCTTCACCAGCAGGTGCTGCACGTCGCGCCAGGTGAGCTGGCTGCTGCAAGGACAGAGGGACACAGGCTGCAGGCGCACAGGTCACACGGACGGACAGACAGATGGCGGCACAAGGGAGGGGGACCAGTCCCCAGCCTGCATGCGAGGAAGCCGTGTGGAATGCACCCGTGCCTGGGCAGAGGGTGCATTCACACCCCCTTTTTAAAAAACAAAACAAAACATTTTTATTGATTTCAGAGAGGAAGGGAGAGAGAGAGAGAGACAGAAACATCCATGATGAGAGAGAATCATGGATCGGCTGCCTCCTGCACGCCCCACACTGGGGATGGAGCCCACAACCCGGGCACGTGCCCTGACTGGGAATCGAACCCTGACCTTCTGGTTCATAGGTCGATGCGCCACCACTGAGCCACGCTGGCCGGGCATCAAATACCCGCTATTTGATCTCAGGGATTACTCCCTGGAAATCATTCTTTACAAAGAGGGGGTGAACTGCCCAGCCTGTGTGGCTCAGTGGTTAAGCGGCCAGGCACAAGCCCAGGTTGCACTGTGGCTCGATCCCCAGTAGGGGGCGTGCAGGAGGCAGCCGATCCGTGCTTCTCTCTCTCACTGATGTTTCTCTCTCTCCCTCCCTCTCCCTTCATCTCTGAAATCAATAAAAATATATTTTTAAAAACTTACCTTCTTTGATGACTCATTTTTTTAAAAAAGTCTGGAGATGGATGGTGGTGTGAGTGACGATGTAGTGAGCTAACCGTGTACTTAAAAATGGCTCACGTGGTACGTTCTGTGTTGTGTGTTATTTTACTACAATAAAAACTTAAAGAAGAAAAAGAAGGAAAAGCAAGGGGGAACTTACTTTGCTTCTAACGCCAGGGCGATGATCCCCGCCACCATGGGGGCCGAGACGGAGGTGCCCGTGTGCCCGTCCGTGCAGCGCTGTCGCAGGTCCGTGGTGACCTGGCGGGAGGGGGGCCAGAGGGGAGGTCAGCTCCCAGGACAACTCTGGGGCCGGGACCCTCAAGATGCCGGTCCTGCCCAGCCTGTGTGGCTCAATGGTTGAGTGTTGACCTATGAACCGAGTGGTCACGGTTTGATTCCCGGTCAAGGGCACACGCCCGGTTTGCATTGCGGCTCCATCCCCAGTAGGGGGCGTGCAGAAGGCAGCCGATCCATGATTCTCTCTCTTCATTGATGTTTCTCTCTCCCTCCCTCTCCCTTCTTCTCTGAAATCACAGTTCAGCGGCTCACACCTCCTTCCAGGGTCAGCCCGGCTATGACCACTACCGTTCAAGTCACCCTGAGCACCACGCACTGGGCCCACGTGAGACAAGGCCCTCCATCTGTAGCAGTTACGCATGGTCATGACCGTCAGCTCTTCATTCTTCGCCCTTCCTTATATGCCAACTTCAACATAAGACTTTAAAAAAAAAGTTTTGATTTCAGAGATGGAGGGAGAGGGAGAAGAAGAGGGAGAGGGACGGAGGGGGGAGAGAGATAGAGAGAGAGAGAAAGAGAGAGAGAGAGAGAAAAAAAAAACATCAATGATGAGAGAGAATCACGGATCGGCCGCCTCCTGCACGCCCCCTACTGGGATGGAGCCTGCAACCTGGGCCTGTGCCCCAACCGGGAATCGAACCCGTGACCTCCTGGTTCATAGGTCGACGCTCAAGCCCTGAGCCACGCCGACTGGGCAGGACACGTTCCGGGCGACCAAGCTTTCCTCCGTGCCTGGAGCTCGGTGCTAGAGGGCTTCGCCCTCACAGGTAACAAACGGACCCGTGATAGGAACAAACAATCCCATCACGGGGTGAGGACGGGGGCGGGGCAGCGGGAAGACGATGCGTGTGCTGAGACACAAAGAGGAGCCCCCCTGGCCCGGCCGGTGTGGCTCAGTGGTTGAGCATCCACCTATGAACCAGGAGGTCAGGCACCAATTGTCCAACGACACAGCCCCGCCCTGCTCCCCTCTACCCGGCAGCCCCCCCCTCCCCCACATCAGGCTCCGGACGGGCGTCTGTTTAACGAGACTCCAGCCAGTCCCCGTGCAGCTGGGCTGGGCTCCCCTCTGTGAACAGGACGCCATTCAGGCCCCGGCGGCCCGTCCCAGGGGCGCGTGCTCCAGTGGGAAAGAAAAATAACTTAAATTAATACCTTCGTGAGCCGGCCTGGCCGCTGCCAAGCTGGCGGCCGCCGTGGGGACCGGCCTTTCCGTCCGTGCAGAGAGAGAAGGGGGAGAAGCGGGGGCCTGTGTGCTCCCCCCGAAAAGTGTAAAAATAAACCCGCGTGTCGTGTGTAAAGAAGTGGCTGAGTAGCAGGAGGAATGAGAAGATTAAAAAAAAAATGGCATTGCCCGGCCGGCGTGGCTGAGTGGCGGAGCGTCGGCCCACGACCCAGGAGGTCACGGTTCGATTCCCGGTCAAGGGCACACACCTGGGTTGCGGGCTCCATCCCCAATAGGGGGCGTGCAGGAGGCAGCCGATCCATGATTCTCTCTCATCACTGATGTTTCTCTCTCTCTCCCTTCCTCTCTCTGACATCAATAAACATATATATATATATATTTTTAAATCAGGCCATGTCTGGCCGGCTCCATGATCTTGTTTTTCAAACGTCTGAAACCCAACGTATGGCTGTGCACTGGAATTCTGCATTAGTCTCAACTCAACACCCATCCCTCCTGACTTATCTGATTATCATTATTTTTCATCCTCACCCGAAGATGCTGTTCCCACTGATTTTTAGAGAGTGGGAAGGAGAGGGAGAGGGAGAGGCAGAGAGAGAGAAACATGGATGTGAGAGAGACACATCGATGGGTTGCCCCCTGCATGCACCTCGACCAGGGACAGGGATCGAGCCTGCAACCAGGGCACATGCCCTTGACAGGAATCGAACCCGGGACCCTTCAGTCCGTGGGCTGATGCTCTAGCCACTGAGCCAAACCGGCCAGGGCTTCTCTCTTTCTTTTTAAAGTCAGAACGCACGAAGGGAAGGAGCAAATGCACATCCCGGCTCTGCCAAATGAACACAAGGACTTTATCAAAGACAAATCGCACTTATGTCCGCCTCCGTGAGCGCAGCGGGCGCACACCACCGCTCAGCTCAGCTCAGCTCAGCGTCCAGAGAAAGTCCTTTTGTCCGGAAGGGAATGCCCGGGGGGCCAGCGGGATTCCGACCGTCTTTCAGGAGAGAACCGTCTCTCTCTCTGCCGTGGCGCTGCCCGCTGAGGCTGAGCCGGTCGGGTGGGCTCTCTCCCAAGCCAGGCGACCACAGAATTTGAGAAAGCCATTCGGAGACGCCGTGGTGAGAATGCAGCTCATTCTTAAAGGGTATTTTTAGACCTCGAGAGCCGGAGAGGGTTTTAATGGGCATTTTGTGCAAAAATTAGCCAGGCGGGGACTGGGGAAGGTTGCCAAGGGACGGAGGGTGTACAGCTAGTTCACGGATGGTTGAGGGTGGCACCCTGGGACCCGGCACACCACGGCCTGGACCTGGCTCACCTATTTTTGTTGTTGTTGCTGTTAATCCTCACCCGAGAATATTTTTCCATTGGTTTGCATTTATTTTTTGTTTTCTTAAAAGATAGATCTTTTTTTTAAAACAAAACAAAACTATATATATAGAAGCCCAGTGACTGAACAGCGGAATGACCAGAACGACCGGTCGACCGGTCGCTATGATGCACACTGACCACCAGGGGGTAGACACTCAACACAGGAGCTGCCCCCTGGTGGTCAGTGCGCTTCCACAGTGGTAGCACAGCTCGCTGACCAGGATGAGTGGGGCGCCCACAGCAGGCCAATCCCTACAGGCCACACCCCCACCAGTGCATGCATCGCTGCACCAGTACGACCGGTCGACCGGTCGCTATGATGCACACTGACCACCAGGGGGCAGACGCTCAACACAGGAGCTGCCCCCGGTGGTCAGTGCGCTTCCACAGTGGTAGCAGAGCTCGCTGACCTAGCTGAGTGGGGCGCCCACAGCAGGCCAATCCCTACAGGCCACACCCCCACCAGTGCATGCATCGCTGCACCAGTCCTCTAGTATATATATTTGTACTGATTTCAGAGAGGAAGGGAGAGGGAGAGAGCGATAGAAAAACCAACGATGAGAGAGACCCATGGATCAGCTGCCTCCTGCAGGCTCCCTACTGGGGATGGAGCCCGCAACTCAGGCATGTGCCCTGACCGGGAATCGAACCCGGGACCCTGCAGTTTGCAGGCTGATGCTCTATCCACTGAGCCAACCCAGCTAGGGCTCCATTGATATTTAGAGAGAGCAGAAGGGAGGGAGGAAAGGGAGGAAAAAAGCGGAGGAGGAAGAGAAGAAGAAGGAAGAGAGAGAGACAGACAGAGAAGAGAAACATGGATGTGAGAGAGACACACTGATTGGTTGCCGCCCACATGCGCCCAGACCTGGGCCGGGGATCGAACCTGCAACCCAGGTACGTGCCCGCGACCAGAATCGAACCCGAGACCCTCCAGTCTGCAGACCGACGCTCTATCCACTGAGCCACACCGGCCAGGGCTCATCTTTTTGTTACGAGCAACTATTTCTTCTGCTATTTCTCAAAAGAGCAATGACAAAATGCTGG